CAATTCCATCTAGCTTCTGCCTATCAGGGAACAAGTTTGGACAATAAATTCATTTTGGACATTGAGTTTGAGGTCCTTGTGAACATCCAGGTAGAGAGATATAGAAAGCAGGTGGGAAAAATGAGCCTGGGGCTCAGGAAAGAGACCCACTGGGAGATACAGATTTATGATCATCAGCAAATAGGATGTAATCAAAGTCACATGAGTGGATGAGCTTGATCAAGAAGACTACAAAACAGAATTCCTTAATCTGATGGGCATCTACGAATTTACTGAAATTGTGGGTAAGATTCTGTGTATGCATGTGTCTGTATTTCTCAGATAGGGATCCATAAGTTTCACCAGATTCTCAAATAGGCCTGTAAATCTAAAAAGATTAAAAACCTACGGGGGAGAGAGAAAGCTAGAATGTAACCTAGAGGGCACCATTTACTGAAATGTGCTACAATTTTGGGATTAGAGGCCACGGTGGGAAAGGGTACCAAATATGTTAGCATTTCATTTCCAATTTACCATCTGAGTCACAGCAGCTATGAAGCAAATGAGTTTCTATTCAAAACTGGGCAACATGTTCCCATAATATGCTGACTCAGACACCATACTTCTAGACCCAAAACTGTATGAAAACCAGAACTTTTAGGCCTGGAGCTTTGGATTTTATATTCCCAGTGAAAATGTGAGTACTTTCCCACTCTCATCCCATAGATAAGGGAACGACTCCCTAGCCATGTGTTTTCTCTGGAGCCTCTCATGTCACAGCTAGCAACTGAAGATCACTTTGTAAGTATTACTTTATGAAACCTCATGATCATCAGTGCTGGATATATTAGCATCTGAGTTTTTCCAGGCAAAAAGCTTTAAAAGTACATAGTATTTGGATTATCTGAGGGCTTATGAAACTCAATCCCATGAAACAAGAAAGTCAGCATATATGCATTATCACAAAGTGCTCAAAATGCAATTACAGTTCACGCTTTATCTTTTCTTTCCCTCAAAATTATTTGTCACTTTAGACATAGACAGAGATGGGGGAGCGGTTTTTTCCAGTGTGCATTTGGAAACCCTTTCAAAAGCCACAAATGTGTATGAAACAAATTCTCTAGTCACAAGGATTCAAACCACAGCATTCTTCCCAACTTAACCACTCAAGCAAGCCAAGAATAATCTAGCCAGACAACTTGCATGTAAGAAAACTGTAATGTCTACTGCTTGGAAAACCTCTAAATATCATGTATACATGTACTGTGGATTACAAAAACCATTTCAGTATTGCACAAAGGAGAAAGCTATGAATTACCAATTACCAAGAGATTACAAAGGACTAGGTTAATGGATGCTGGACTGATGGATACTTCGTCTTTAGCAGAATGTGATTCACAAAACTTTAACACATATAAAACTGTTTTAAAACTTGAGGTCTTTCAGAAAAGAATATATATAGATAATAACTGAAAAATGTTCAATTATTTTAATCAATGAAACCTATTAAAATTAGCAAAAATATAAAGTAAAATTACCTATATTGTGCTGGTAGTTTGAAAGATTAAAAAAATTATCAACATATATCGTGGACCTTAAAAAACTTTCAGATACTCTGACTGGTTTAATTCCACTCTCATTAGTATATCTTAAAAAAGAAAAAACTGAAATGCAGTATGTGCAAAAATGTTCACTGAAGCACTGTTTGTCAAAGAGAAAATTGTAAACAACAAAAGAAAAATGATAAAATGAATTATAGAAGATATACTAGGGAAACATTTTATCCATTTGTTCATTCATTCATTTACTTAGTACTGTGTTTCATAAAGGATGTAAGGTGGCTCATAATGATTTATCTACATAACGATGAAAACTTGTATTTAAAAAGCATATGCACAATGGGAAAATGCTCATGAATACTAACAGGAAAGTGCTGGATATAAGATTGTATGTTTGCAAAAGTAAATTATAAAATATGTAAGCTTAACTTTGTTTAACAATATGCAGAAAGGAAGGGGAGCACATTAAAATATTATGAATGGTAAGTGTTTGGGTGGTAATATCAGAGAATTTTATTCTTATCTGTTAAATTTCATAACTTTTAGAAATTGAGCTTAAATTTTTATAACAAAATGTGTGTATGAAAAATTTAAAAAAATGAAGATTATTTAAAAAAATAAAAATCTGCCTCCATATGTGATAGTTTAGAAGAAAACAGCTCTTTCTACATAGCTATTAATGAACTGAAAAAGGAAAAATGAAAGCAATAACTAATAGTAAAAAATCTACATGGAAATTAGCCTCATGAAATGTAAGTTTGTTTGTCAATTAAGGGTATCAAAAGAAGGACAGGATAAAGAGATGATATATCATAAGGCTGCAGGGAGGGGAGAACTCTGACATAACAAGAGAATGCCAGATAAAGTTAAGGAATTTTAAATCTTGAAACCAAATACCCTACCTGCGAACTTATGCTAACATGGTTGACTTGTTTAAACTGTAGTTTCAAAAAAGACTGCATCTAGAGACAGAAAGTAGAATTGTGGTTACCAGGGGCTGGAGGAAGGGGGAATGGGTAATGACTACGTAGTTTCAGTTTGGAAAGATGAAAAAAGTCCTGGAGATGGATAGTGGTGACAGCTGCACAACAATGCAAATGTACTGCACATTTATAAACTGTTAAAATGGTAAATTTTATGTTACTTATATTTTACCACAATTAAAAAAAGAATACATCGAGTTCTGGTATGAAATAGATTATATTGGTAAGGTATATGTTGAGATTCTTTGAGTTTTCAGTCTTCCTGAAATAAAATAAAGATGTGAGTATAACTTATTAAAATAAATAGTTGTAAAAACAAACAAACAAAAACAAAGCATAAATACAGGAGAGAAATAGACTCACAGACAGAGAATACAGACTTGTGGTTACCAGGGGGGTGGAGGGCGGGAAGGGATAGACTGGGATTTCAAAATTGTAGAATAGATAAACAAGATTACACTGTATAGCACAGGGAAATAAACACAAAATGTTATGATAACTCACAGAGAAAAAAAATGTGACAATGAGTGTGTATATGTCCATGAATGACTGAAAAATTGTGCTGAACACTGGAATTTGACACAACATTGTAAAATGATTATAAATCAATAAAAAATGTTTAAAAAAAACAAAAACATGAACAGAAAAAAAAATAAAATAAATAGTTGTAATTACACTTTTTAATAGCAACTTTCTCTCTTTCAGAGGGTAGTTTATCGTATTTGTTTAATAATTCTTATGAAGCCAATGTTTAGTTATCAAGTATTGAGAAATCATGCCTTATCTAAACAAAGGTTTAAAAGTAAAGTATTCATTAGATTCAAAGTAAAAAGAAACTATAAGTGAGGTCACTAATAATTCTGCACTTATGCAAATTTGTTATAATCAACTATGAGAATAAATTTCCCCAACAGTAAGCATCATTCTTAGAAATTGGGAAAAATAGATTACAGAATTGTCCTCATAGTTCCTGGGAAGTCTCAGTTATCCTTAAAATGCCGTGGAAGACTTATGATGATAAAGCATTCTGCAAATGTGATTTTTCTAATTTAAAAATATCTTCTGATCATAAAAAAAGCAAGAAACAAAAAAGAAAAATATTTTCCAAGAACCAAATTCCACATCCAGCTTTCTTCATTTACTTTAAAAATCTTACTTACCCTTCTCGTGTTTTCAAGGATTTTGGGATCAGGTTTTCCATAGTTAGGTGGGTTGGCGTATGGGTCATATCCAAGTTTGGCAAGCATGGGTGCAATCACTGCCATGTCTTGTAAAACATCTGGAGGGATCTTCCCAACCCATTTTGATAGAGCTCCCACATTGACTGGCTTGATGACTTGGTCTGTAGATCTCTCCACTCTGAAAGCAATATAATGTGAATAAATATTCATTTAGACTACTGAAAAAATGTGGTAAGAGGCTACTGAAAATTATTTTCAATAACTTTAAAAATGATAAGTCTCCAGATTATAAAGCTGTTGAGAGAGAGGGCATTATTCAGGCTTAACACATTTATCAGACTTTCAATGTTCTCAATTTGACAGCAATCATTGGCAACCTCAGATTTCTAGAAATAGGAAAAGAGGTCAGCTGAAAACATCTGCACAAAATGGGTTGACACTTTAATTACAACATTCAGAAAAAAAATAACAAAGATAAGACTGCTTAGAAAAACTTACCTGAAATACATAAAAAACAACAACAACAAATAAGATGGACTGATGAATGATGACTAGAGGGACAGACAGATGGACAGATTATGTGACAAAGTAAACACAGCAAAATGTTATTCATAGCTAGTGGGTATAATTCTTTCAGTTCTTTGTATGTTTGAAATTTTTCAATAAAATATTAGGGGGAAAACAGCCAACCATAATCTATTAAGAATGCAAGATTTCATTTGTCTTATTTTTCAGTTTATTTCCTAAAGAACCTTATTATCTAAGAAAGAAAAAGAAGTGCTGTTTATGACTTTCAATATGACAAAATAAATGTCTTCTAACTCTTGACCTAGAGATTTACTTTAAGCTTATAGTGACATCAAATTTGACTAAATAATCTGACTCATAATTTTGGGGTAAAATATAATATAAAATGACATCTAGATTAAAATTGGATCTGAATTAGCAGATTTGGCCAAATGACTATAAAACAAAAGTGCCTAAGAGAGTTTTATGTCATAATGTGTTAGAAGTCACTCATAGTATTCTAATAAAAAGTAAAAACACTGTTTCTTTAAGTATACGACCTCTCACTGCAGATAGTCATCATCTGATGAAGAATCCCTCAAAGGGGCTCTGCTCCTTAAAAAATACATAAGAGAAAATACAATGATTCTTCCCTGGGATTCTGTGAGGCCACTAGCTCCAGGCTTCCTCCCTGTCTTGATGGCCACATTCTTTTTTCTCTCTTAAAAATTTCTCCAGGACTCCACTTAACCCACTGCTCTCTTCACTCTGTACATTTTCCCTGTATGGCTTCATCTCTAATGATCTTTTCTGGACATTTTTTACATGTGTAAAGAACATCCCGGTTTGTCCAGGACAGTTTCAGTTTATACCTTTTGCACCCAGCTTAATTATTAACAGCACATCCCACTCACACCCATAAATGTTCAAGTTTGTATGTTAAATTATATGGTCACCCTACCCAGATACTCTACTCACACCTAAAAACAAAGATGGTCTAAAACTGAAACCATCATCTTCTCCTCAAAATCTATTCTTCATGTACATCTTATCTTGACAAACAGCACCACCCCCATCCACCAGGCAAAGCCAGAGATCTCAGATGGGGCAGGGAGAAAGCAAGATCACTTCCAAGTTACCCAGTTCCAGAGGCTCTACCTTTGAGTAGGGTGATCTCTCCTCTACTCTGGCTGCCACTAGCCTTAGTTCACGTCACCATCATTCTCACCCAGATTACTAAAAGTCTGTATTTAAGCAGCTGGCTTCCTTGTCCAACTATCTATCATTCCACCAGACTATAAGGAAGATCTATGTTTTACTAATCTCACGATCACTAGTATCTAGCATGTTAACATGTAACAGATTCTCAATAAATGTCTACTAAATTAATGAGTAAAAGCTTTTCATGGCAGGGAAAAAACCCTATAAATTTAGTTTATACAAACATACTCAAGAGAAGTCAAAGATCATATCTTTATAAGGAAATCAAGTGACACAAGATGAAGTAACTAGAGAACATCCAAGTGCTGAACTACACTATATTTACTGTGGGTGCATTAGGAATGTTAGAGAAAGGGAGTCATGCCTGCAGAGAGAAACATCTTAAGAAGAAAAAGGTTTATAGTAAACAAAAAACAATTTTTTTTCATTCTATGTCAGGCACTTTGCATATGGTATCCATTTTAATCCTTGAAACCACCTCAAGGGAAAGACATTATCAGTACCCATTTTTCAAATGTGACAATTGAGACCCATAAGGTCACACAGTCTGGAAATAACTGAGTTAGAATTTGAACCTATGTCTGTGTGTCTCCAAAGCTCCCGTTTTACCCAGTTCTCCTACTGCTGTCCAATTGATCATCTTAATTTTTACAGTCTATGCTTCCCTGAAAACCCTGGCCTCTCGTTCTATACTGCATAGACTGAGAAAGTCATTTTGCCACAATGATAAAAACATACTGTATATGTAATAGATATATGCACTGCTGTGCTAGTAATGTTTAACAGCCTGATTTCCAAGAAGGAAAAAGCCATGATTTGTGGCATTTACTGATGACCAGTGATGTAAATACTCCCAGAATGGCTGATTTCAAGCTACTACCACTACGTCAACTACTGCAGAGTTGAGAAGAGATGCACAAAAATGGGCTGTCTACAGCTGGAGCAACCCAGCTCCAGCAGACCACCATACATCCACAGGACCACAAACTCTTACCCCAAATTCTGAAATCCAAGAAGCTCCAAAAGCTAAACATTTTCCTGTAACTTATCTGGTAGCAAAACATTACCTGAACTGACAGGAATCTATTTACAGCCTTTATTCTACTTGGCATAAACAATCATACTCTCAGATGCAGAAATATTGATGTGTCTGATTACAGAGTGCTGATCCAGAATGAGCAAGGATGTTATAAGATATGTTTTATGTACAGCATATGACCTTTCTAGAATCTAAAAATTTCTGAATTCTGAAACACATCTATTTTAAGCAGTGAAGTCACACATAGGGTCTTGTATGTTGTGACTGGGAAGTTGGCTTTATCTTGAAAATGATGGGGAATGATAGAAAGGTTTTAATCACAGGATGGACAAGACCAGATTATCCTTATCTGCATTCAATGTTGATGACTATGGGAAGGGCAGATTGAAGGATGGGGCACCTGGGGTCAGAAAAACCAGTAAAAATGTTCAACTATATATTGAGAGAACTGAGAAATGATTAAAGCTTCAACTAGAGCAAATGACATAGATAGGGAAAGAAAAACCTCCACAGATTTTCTTTTTAATTGATAAGACTTAGTGGCCAGTCAGATATGGGGAGAAGGAGAAAAAGGAGTCTAGGTGAATTCAGATTTGACTTGAAGGACTGAATGGATGGTGTTATCATTCTTATTACAATAGATAGCATGGAGGAAAAGCAATGTGGTGTTGCTTAGTTTTGTTTCAGGTGTAGGGAACAAAGAAAAAGAGGTAAATTGATAGTAGTCAGGAAGTTACCAAAAGTCTAAAGGAAAATCAGTGTTGACTAAGAGACTGAAATGTGGTATGTGTTCAGTAAACAACAGCTATCATTATTTCTGCATCCAGATTATAGCACTGGTTTAAAAGAAAAATGAAAGCTGTGGTTTATCATTATGACAAATAAAGGATTTAAATATAAAGTACAATCATCTCTGTCTGAAAGAGATAGAATTCAAAAATGAAAAGGCTTTTGTCATGTAATCACTGAGTCACAAGCTCCACTGGCAGCAAATGCAGTTGCTATGGACTCCTAAGAGGAAGAACTTGGAAAGGCGTGTTGCATATTGATCAGGTGTTTCTCTTTAAGACAGTAATAATGGCATTTTACACTTATTGAGCACAAAATTCACATTAAATATTTCTGACCCACTATGTGTTGGGTCGTTAGACACTAAAGCATGCAGAGATGACACGACTGTGTCATGGCCCTCCTCTCAAGAAGCTCAGAGTCCAGTAAGAGAAACATACACGATTAATACGCAGCATGATAAATGTGATGACAGAGGACAGAAACCGTATAATGGGAGTGCAGAGGACAGAACCAGGCCATTCGTCTCCTGGGGTGGGACATGAGTCAACGTGAGTTACCAAGCAGCTAAGGCAAGGGTTAGTAATCTATGGGTCACATGCCAAATCCAACCCTGCTATCTGTTTTTGTCTGGCCTTCAAGCTAAGAATGGCTTTTACATTTTTAAATGTTTTGTTTTTAAAAATAAAAAGAAGAATACTTTATAACACATGAAAATCATATGAAATTCAAATTTCAATGTCATAAAGTCTTCCTGGAACACGCTACATTCATTTGTTTATAGACTGTCTATGGCTGCTCTTGTGCTGCAGTGGCAGAGTTGAGTAGTCGAGGTAAAAACTATACAGTTCTCAAAACCTAAAATATTTACCATTCAGCCTTTTACAGAAAAAAATCTGTCAACCCCAATCTAAGACTGTATCTTACAGGCATATAGGGTTTATGGCAGGGGAAGGGTGGTGGTCTCAGGTGATACCCTTCCTCGCAGAAGGACGTCAACTTTCACACACACGAGACAGCCTGGTGCATTTAGAGAACAGCACGTGAGGAGAGCTAAGGATGTATTTGGAGCTGCCTGGGTAGAGAGGGTAAGGAGGGGGAAGAAACAGTTATTTTCTCTGCACTTATCAGATTCAAGGAAGACATCTGTTGAGCGATGGACAGGACAGGATAAAATAAAATAGGATATAAAATAAAAAACAAGAGGAGGTATGGTCCCAGTCCTCCAGGAGGTCACTGTCTGGTTGGTGAGCTACACAAACCTTCCACCCTTAAACTCTTAGAGTTGCCTCTTTGTTCCAAATTAGCTCTTTGGGCTTGTCTTTCCTCTCTTCCCATGGGTTCTAGTTGGTTAGTCTGTCTTTTTCTAAGTGGCAGCAAAGTGCAGTGGTGAGAATGCACCCTAGAAATCGGACCTGTGAGACCTAGCTTTGTCAGATTTAAGAAAACTCTGACCCTCAGAGATTAGGGATAATGACCACTAACAGACAAGAGACAGAGTTTTGCAAAACACTGTTCAAAAGCAGAGACTGGCAAACTATAGCCCAAATCTGGCCTGCTGCCTGTTTTGTAAGTAAAAGTGTTACTAGATCAAAGCCACATCCACTTGTTTTTGTACTGTT